GGAAAAATCCACAATTATATTACTGTGTTCACAGTAAAATAAAAACAGTAATTTACATAAAAACACAATGAAAACATAATCAGATTCTTTGTGATTTTTTTAATACCATTATTAGTTTTTAAGGCACGATAAAAGAAAATAAGTGGTTCCACTTTTCTTGTGACAGTCATTATAATGATTTAACAAATGTATAAACATTCTTAGTTAAACAACAAATAATCACGAACAGAAGAGATTGTTCTGTTCATTATCTGATTAAGAGAACTGAAGGGTTCTCTTCCACGGTTAGAATGACCTGTCATGGCCTAAATAGAGTTCAGTTTGTGACAGAGTTCCTGTCCTCTCGTCAGGCCTGTCCGAGGCCTGCTTCGAGGCAGTAAATCTTGTTTCTTCACTCGAGGTGACCCCTACAAACTGGACAACGGCCCTCACTCAAATTCTTAGTTAGTTAGTTAGTTAGTTAGTTAGTTAGTTAGTTAGTTAGTTAAAAATAACAGTCATGACACTGAAACTAACAACACACTGCTGACAACTGAGAGGTGTTACGGACTGAGGCTGATGAGGAAACGAGGCACAGCTGAGCTAAATGAGATAATGAATAAGTGCAGGTGGCGGTGGCTGTGGCAGGATCTGAGGAGCTGAACTAACTGAGGAAGAAATGATAGTGTGAGACTGGAAAATACAAAAAAAAAAAAACTATACAGAAATAAACATGACAATAAATCTCAAAAGATAAAACTAAAACACTAAAAAAACACTGACCGTGACAGATTCAGATTTAAAACAGTCTGTGCAACATGTTTAGACTGTGCAGTTAAGAGAAAAAACTTTTAGAATTTTATTTGTCCGGTAATTGTTTAGTATTTCTTTAAATATCACCCCACTGGTCCTTCTGGTTTTTTCTATTTCCCTCATCTACCAGTTGCTTGTTTGATTTTGCTGAAAAATTGACTGTTTCCACATCGTTAAGTTAAAGTTTACCTTCCTCACCCTAGGTTTTGCAACTAAAAAATCCCTCGAAGGATGCAGTGTGATGCTAATCTCACTAGCTAGTGCTGCATCAAACGATTATTTTCTAATCGATTAATCTAACGATTAATTTTTCGACTAATCAATTATTCTAACAACAAATCTATAAGTTATTCTGATGTGAGTGCACTGGATATTTAAAATGTTTTCATCAAATTAACAAGAACAGTTCTTTAATATTGTAATATTTTCTAAAATAGTTTTTTTCATGAACACAAAATATGCACTCTAGAGTCAATTCTTTAACAATAAAGCTTAAAAGATTTAACATCAACATAAAATCTT